ATGGCCATCCCTGCTTGCTTAAGAGGACCATGTGCGTCGTATATTTTTTCTCAACCTTTCACCTTCAGTCTGTGTTTTTCTTTTCCAATCAGATGTGTCTCCTGGAGACAACATATTGTTGGATTTGTTTTTTTAATCCATGTTACCAGCCTATGTCGCTTTATTGGAGAGTTTAAGCCATTAACGTTTAGAGTTATTATTGATATATGGTTTGTACTGCCAGCCATGTTTGATTATTTATCTTCTTTTTTAAATTTAGTTTGTTTCTCCATGATTAGCTTTCCCTCTGCCCTCTGTTATTACTGATGCACTTCCCACTGATGGTTTTGGTTGTTGTTTTTCATTTCTTCCTCGTGTAGTGTTTTCTCAAGACGTTTTGCGATGCTGGTTTTCTGGCTGCAAATTCTTTTAGCTTTTGTTTATCATGAAAGATTTTTATTTCCTTGTCATACCTGAAGCTTAATTTTGCTGGATACAGAATTCTTGGTTGGCATCCATTGTCTTTCAGTGTTTGAAATATGTTGTTCCAGGATCTTCTCACTTTCAGCATCTGTGATGAAAAATCCATTCTTAACCTTATTGGTTTACCCCTGAATGTAATCTGCCTTCTTTCTCTTGTAGCTTTTAATATTTTCTCTTTGTTCTGTATATCGGATATCTTCATAACAATGTGTCTTGGCATTGCTCTACTGTGATTTTGTGTGCTGGGTGTCCTGTATGCATCTACAATTTGTATATCTGTTTCCTTTTTTATTTCTGGAAAGTTTTCTGTAATTATTTCATTCAGCAGGTTACTCATTCCCTTGGTTTGAATCTCTGTACCTTCCTCTATCCCGATGACTCGTAAGTTTGGTTTTTTTATGTTATCCCATATCTCTTGGATGTTTTTCTCATGATTTTTTACCAGCCTTTCTGTGTTGGCTAGACTCTTTTCAAGATGATATATTTTGTTTTCATTATCTGACGTTCTGGCTTCTACTTGCTCCACTCTTTTAGTGATACTCTCAATTGAGTTTTTAATTTGGTTTATCGTTTCCTTCATTTCTAGAATTATTGTTTGATTTTTTTATAATCTCTATCTCCTGATAAAGATGCTTAACTTCTTCTTTTATCTGTTTGTGTAATTCATTTTCAATGTGTTCTTTCACTGTTTGGATTTGCTGTCTCGTATCCTCTTTAAGGTTCCATTCCATCTGTCTAAGGTATTCCTTGAGTTCTTTATATGGCCATTTTTCTGATGACTCTAGGTTCTCTTGAATATTTAGGCTGTCCTTCATTGTATCTACTCCTTGTCTTCCATGCTTTTTTATGCTGCTCATGTTATTTCTTGTTCTCTTTGACTGCTGAGTTACTGTTTACTCTTATAAATTTATTTGATGCTTGGTAGGAAAGATATTAGAAGGGAAGGGAAGAAGTCACTAAAGAGAATGAGAGTAGGCAGGTAGAATTCAAGGAAGGGGGAATAAGAAAATTGAAAAGAAATGAAAACACAAAAGAAAATAAATAGAAAATAAATAAAGAAAAAGAATTTAAAATAATAATAATTATAAAAAAATAAAAATTAAAGTTTAAAAAAATAATAATAATAAAATTTAAAAAAATAAAAAATGAAAACATTTAAAAAAGTTAAAGAACAATAACAACAAAAAAATGAAAATGAAAGAAAGAAAAAATAATAATAATAATAAATGCAGTCATAGAGTTCGATTAACTTCTCTTCCAGTAGGTGGAGCTGTGCCCACTGGGCCAAGCTTCTCTTCTCTATAGGTGGGAACCAATCACTGTGCAGCAACTCTTCCTCCAAGACTGGGCGGGTCTTGAATCCTGAGTGCCTAGGTCCTTCTCTTGTGTTTCCTCAAGCCAGGCCCCGCTCACCGGTGACGTTCACCACAATACTGGCTACACGCCAGGTCTGCTGCTCCTGGGAGCCCTGTTTTCATGAATGCCTGGGCATACTCTCCCTGTTTGCCTCCCTCAGACCCTACGTTTGTAGAGCTTGGGGCTGAGAACCCCCAGCGAATTTGCTTGCCCTCCGGTAGCCACTCCCCCGGTAGCTGGTGCAAGGGACCTCAGTTGTCAGCACTGGTGGGAGCGGTAGCCGGGAGTTCAGTGCCGCGAGCCCCGTGCCACTCCTGATTCCCTCTGTCTGGCTATTGCGCTCACGGGGGTGGGGTGGGGGCTTAAGTTTTCCCCGCTGTGTGGAGAGGGATGGCTAGGTGATTACACACCTGTGATCGCTGGTTTCAATGACGTTATCTCCACCCATGAGTCAGTTCTCTGCCATGGTGGTATCCCATGCAAATGGTGACTGTTCGTTCCCTTTGCCGGGTGACCAATGCAATGGGTGGGTCCTGACTGTCTCTCCCAAGCCCTCTTTCAATCCTGTGGCCACTGCCTATGAAGGCTCAGTGGGCTTTTACCTCTGTAAGTTCAGAGGGGCCGACCAGTTATTTCCACGGCATCATTAGTGCTGAGTCATGAAACCGGAGCTTGAATGCAGCCGATCCAGGCTCGGTGTGGCCCAGACTGTTTGCCCCAGATCCACGTCAGCTCAGCATTGCCTAGTGATCCTGAGCAAACAGCATTTAGATAGTTTATGTCTCCCTATGCCTGCACAGCTGAAGGGGTCAGAGACTTGATCTCTCCATACCTGCCGCCATGTTGGATCCCTTAGATTTTAAATTGTCACTCATTTTATCAGCTGTTCCATTTTGCTGGGCTGGTCAGTGGCTCACTCGTGCGGTAAAGAGTCTGCTCTAAGGAGCGCCACAGGAAGTGGTGGTGGCGGAAGCGGCCCAGCTGCGGCCCTTGGGTTGCCCGGGGAGGGGCTGCGGGCTGGGGGAGGGGAGGCGGCGCCGCAGGGCCATACCAGCTGGGTGACTGGGCACTCGAGAGAGCGGGCAGGGCGGGGGAAAGAAATTAAGGTTGAGATTCAGAGAGCGAGCGTGAGAGGAGAGACCGTGGGAGAGAAGCGAGGTGGAAAGGTGGAGAGGAGGGGGAAAACGGGCTGAGAGGGCCGGGTGGCTCAGGGACTGCAGCCTTACACTTGCGCTGTGATGGACTCACTCCACCTAGGCCCCTTTCTTGACACAGTGCTTAGTCTTTGTTGACAGATCTCCTTTAATGATTTCTACTTTTTCTTTTAAGAAGCGGCAACACACGCTGTGGGCGTGGCGGCACAGGGCACGGGGAGGCTCACTCCCTTCCCGCTGCCATCTTCCCCCTCAATCCTGATTTATATGTTTCTTAAACTTACCCTTCTGTGATCAACTCTCATTTTTCTCTGTCTCTTCTAAACATCCTCACAAATATAAGAAAAACTTCTCTTATGTTCTCAGGGGATTCCTAAGCCAGTCAATTAATGATGGTATAATGATTATCTTTTATAGACCAATCCTACACTAAGCTGCCTGTGAATTATAAAGCAGGATAAAACATTTTGTTTTATTAGGTAAGAGTTCAGTTGGATAGTTGAAACAAGGCATAAATATAAGAACAATTAAAAGGAATTCAGGCTATTAATAATAGTTTTATATAAATACATATGACATTGCATGCCAGTTCCTCTCATTTCTTTCTTCCAGGTATCACTCTGATTTGATCTTTCCTTTTTTCATTTTCCTAGACTTTACCATGCTCTGACTCCTAGCTCTTTCATAACCAAAACATTTTTTAAATTTATTTTTTAGAAGTAGTTGAACACAATACCTTTATTTTATTTATTTTTATGTGGTTCTGAGGATCGAACCCAAGGCCTCACATGTGCTAGATGAGCACTCTCCCACTGAGCCATAACCCCAGTCCTCAAAACATTTTAACTGTATACTCTTAGCTACTTTTGTTCTCTAGCCATCCCATATTTCAAGCCAATCATCATTAGATAACATTTCATATTAGTCATTCTTTTGTCCAAAGAATCTGAAATGATACTGTAGCCTGCCACATTAGGTCCAAATTCCTGTGCCTATTTCCTGTGGTCCTCCAGAACTGAGCCTCATCCTATCTATCAAATTTTATTTCCAATTCTTGATGCATATATTAGGAGCAACTAATTCTCCACCCAAACCTATCCCATCCAACCCCTTTCCACCAGACCATTATCCTCTAAGCATATTATGCTTGCTAAATTCTACCTTTCTCCCTTGGTTTATGTTAAACTTTCCTGAATTTCTTTTTCCTTACTCTCTGCTTTTCCAGATCTTCTCCATCCCTTAAGGCTCATAGGGAGATCCAATTTCCTTTAAAAAATGTTCCCAATCATCATAATAGCCAATATTGACTTCTATGTATTCCTTTGCTATACACACGTGCATGTGTGTACACACACACACACACACACACACACACACACACACACACATTCTTATACTTCAAATGCTGCATCTTCCATAAGATTATATTCTGTTTTCAATTCTCTCTTTATTTTCATGTGCTATTATGTTATAAATTGAAGGCCCTAAAAAAGACTTTACCTTCTCTCCCTTAACACCTAGCACAGGACTTGGTACACAAATTAGTATGTTTCATCAATTGCTAATGAAGGTACCAGTGCTTTATTATATTCTGGAAGTTGAGGTGGATAACAGGAGATGATTTAGAGTCTTAAAAGTTTCATGTCCCCAGAAATATCTACTAGGGTTATATTTCAATGAGAATAGTTAGTGCTACAAAGCAGATATAAGAATTTAATGTTTCTCTGATTATATTATCTAAATCTGTATTTTTTTACACAAGCTTTTAAGAACAGCCAAATAGTCCATTTTTTTGTCTTGTTGGAAGATTTAGATGTTGAAATGGCCTTTTTAAAGTGAATCATCAGTGTTTTAAATGTGCTGGGAAATGGATATTATATGGATAGAATAGCAACCCAAATAAGAACACTAATGAATGTTTACACACCATCAAGTCTACAAACATTAAATATCATACAATGATAGAATCTTTCCTATTCTATAATTTATCTCAATTTTTCCATTATTTTCTTTCATTTTCTCTTCTAGCTTTACTCACAGACAAGCCTCCCAAGCCATTGTTCCCCATGGAGAATCAGCCAAGTGTTATAGATGTCCAGCTGGGTAAGTCTCCTTCTGGGAATAATAGATTCTAAACTTGCTCTCTATTAACAGATGGGGAAAATTGCATGAACCAGGAAAGGTTTATTGCCACTGTTATTACATGCAAATCAATTTGCTTTCTGCTCATTTATAACCCTGGAGTTAGCAGTTTAAGGAAATGAGTTTGTATTGCATCAAGGAATGGTAATACTAATTTGTTACGCTGGGTATTAAATGTGCTATAAGACAGAGCTTTTTAACTCTGTGATTGATAGATTCATGCTGTCTTCCAGTGGTGATTGGTGGAGAAAATTTTCATACATGTCAGCCAAAAAATTTTATTTGGAGAGAATTAACTCTTGGAGACCAAGCACGTCTTAATATAAAACACAGCCCTTCAGTACTGCCTTTAAAATGATTTGATAATATTATTTCCAATGACACAATCCAATGCTATTTAAAAAAATTGAGATTGGGATCCTGAATATTTATGATTCATATGATGTTGAGGGAAAAATTAACTAGTTGATTTATGAATGCTACTGACTTTTTTCAAACTTGAATAAGGACATGAGAATTTGAGCCAATTTTGAGTGTGCTGCCACTAGTCCTTGTGAGTTTGAGTACTATAAGCTTGTTACTCAGAAGCCTGCTAGGATCTCTTTTAAGCTGTGGCCTTTAATCTAAACCCTGTTCTTTAACATTTGTGAGCTTTCATCTATTGTGGATTTCATCCCACAATCCTCAATTTCTTCAATTCCAAACAAAAGAATCACAAAACAATTGAGTGTACAGGCAAAAAGTATATTAGACATACATTGGATACATGATTTTTAAAAATTTGAGATCATAGTGGTAACCAACAATTATATATATAGTCAAGTAGGATGAATTGACTATAATATTTCATTCACTTTGGAAGTTTTAGGCTCAATTTCTGATCTTTTCAATACAATTTTATATCTATCTTGCAAACAGGAGAGAGAAAATGACATTCCAAAGTGTTTGCTCACTGTTCTAAAATGAAATGTAGCACAGTACTTTCTAAATATAGACTATCAATTTGAGGAGGACCAAAGTTAAATAGGTTAAAACTAAAAGAGGACAAAATAGTAAACATGTTGTCAAATATAACTTGTGGAAGTGGTGACTGTTTTGTAAATAATGTTGAAGTATTGACTATGGCTCTCTTTCCACATTCCCCTTCTTATTTTGGAGGCATTGTATTTTGTTAGATTCAGATTCAGGTATGCTTATATCCTTACCCTCCAATAATTTTTACTTACACTTTTCCATTTCAAACTGGGATAAAAATATCTCTATGGTACTCCATAGTTTGTTAGGGATTACATAAAGCTATTTAATAATCTTGTATCATCAGTTTACATGGAGATTCTAGTGGAGAAGTTGTTTTTATTTGAAAATTTATATATTAAGGAATGAAAAAAAATTCACTTAAAAAATATCAGTACATTTCATGTTTGTGGCCTCAGTGGAGATATCTTTCCATTCTGTTCTACCATTATTCACATTTCAACAGAAAAAATTGACAAGTACTGCTACACAGTAGTGAGAGGGACCTTTCTAATGGATACGTTTCATTCAATTCACTTGGTGCAACACCTGTATATGCTACTCAGGGCACCTATTATGGTGTGTATTTTATAAAGCTTTATATGAACAACTATTCCAACATAGGCATATATGCCAAAATACCCTATTGACAGTACCATCCTTTAAAATCACTAAGATAATTGACTGCCACACTACATTAAATGTAAGGCTAAACTTTTCAGTTTTTAGTTGGTATATAATTTAGAGATAACTTTATTGACAGAAAGATAGAAAACTTCTCATGTTTTCATTCAAGATCTTCGTGGTTTCAGTGAGCATATGACTAGTTAATTATAAGTGAGTTTAACTTTTCTGCAAATTTATTAACACTATATATTCACAGTGGGGAATCATTTTGTGAGGTGCTCATATACCTCAATTGTCAGGTGACATTAAGAGTGCTATAAATGTCAGAGAGATCCTCAGCCTCAGTGGGAGATCTGCAGACAGAATGATGAGAGTTTATAAAACTTTAGATATAAAAAAGAAATAGAGAAAGATAACTGGGGCTATTGGACATCTCTATCTATATCTGGGGAACTTTCAGAATTCCATAAGGTAATAAAAACTTCTAGAAGTTGTTTTCCTTCTGCATCTAAAGTTTGTCAAGCAACATTTAGTTTCAGATATCCTCAAACTATAACTAAAATTAGAACTTCCCCAAAAGTACAGTACTCCAATTCAAATTGTTATTAAGCATACTATCAAATTTTGGTTTCCCAAATCCTAGCACTTAATAATTGAAATAACAATGTGGCATATTAAAGTTGGCCCAAGATCTTTTTGCTACTCACATCATCTAAATGTGGACTTAATCTCCCCCTCACATTTTATTCTGGGTTGGCTTTGGAAATACGCTTTACCAATAAAGTATGGCATAATTGATGTTCTGAGATTTTGGAGACCACATTGAGAGAAACTAGCAACTTCTATCCCAGTTTCATGGTTTTCTCTGAAACTATAATGCTACTTATAGCCTAAGCTGCAGGGAGAGACTCTAGAGGATAAGACACCATGTGGAAAGAGAAAGACCAAGGAGCACTTTCAAAGTACAAGAAATATGAATAAAGAAGTTTTTTAGAAGTAGATCCCCCTAGTCCTAGCTAACCTGGCTTGTGTCACATAGATTAGAGGCAAACTACTGAAATGAACTGTTCTCAAATACTTGACCCAAAAATTATGAGTTAAAATAAAGTGAATGCCAGTGACAAATAAATTAGAGATACTTTGTTAGGCAATAGTATATAACAAAAATAAACATAAATTAGATTCTCTAGAGCATTCTTGATTCCATTTTCTCCCATGGATAAGAATTCTATGCAACCAATTCATACAAAATGAGAAATACTGCAGAAAATATTTGAATACTAGGTTCAAGGTAGTTTTATAAAATAGAGTCTCCAACAATGGTTTAGATGTGTGAGGGTTATACTGCTCTCAGTTGTGGATATTTCTAAAGAAAATGTGGTGAACGAAAATTTTCAGTATAAATTCATATTGTCTAGTACATGGAGTTGGCATCAGTTCACATTTTTTGTTGTGTCTCTAGAGGAAAATAAACATTTCAACTTTCTTTCTCCTATAGTGTAATCCATTAGTCATCTGCAAGTTTTAGAAATTCACATACATTTTTGCTGACTTAGTGATGACAGTTTGGTTGTTACTAAATTGTGTTCCCATTGTATTGCTGAAACAAGATTAATGTTAACTAAATAACCATATATTTTGTGATGATAAACATATTCATAACAAAATAGTCTAAAAACGGTTGTTTTCACATAGCAAGCCTGTGCAGCTAAAGCTGCCTATGATGAAATATAAAGAGAAAAAAACAATGTACAACACACACAAATCCAATTTTGTCCTGTTATCTTCCATTTATTATCTCTCGCTAGAGGTTCAAATTTGTGGAAAAAAACCACTTTAACATACTAGTGCTAATTCTGTTCTCAGCAGTTGAGAAGGAATATATTTTAATATTTTCTAAGAAAACATTATTGCAATATATTAATTTATATTACACATTTAATAATAAACTCTTAAAACATCATAGGGACAGGTGCCCTATTTGAATGTATTGATGCTAGGTAGATTCCTCTTTATATATTAGTTTTTGTTATGGCCCAAAATGCAGTTTTTACAAACTTTAACACACTTCTAGAAGCTTTGAAAAGTGTATGAGCAAACATTGATTTAAAGAATTGAAATCAACTGTCTAATTTTAATTAAGGTGAATCTAAAAATGTGCCCTGTTCTCACAAACAATGATCATTTTCTTCATGGAAGTTTTCTTAAGACTTAAAATAATCCAGAAACTATTGTGTAGAAAATTAATACAAATCCTACAAATCCTACTTACTTTCTCCTTCTAAGTCAAAAGGAAGTCTTGTGTGTGTGGCTGGGGGGAGTTAAGTCATATCAGAAAAAGTAAGACCAGTAGAACTGTCAAAGATAATTGCATTCATTGCCTTAAATGTTTCAAAAAGCCAATAGTTCACCTTTGGGTGAATTTGATCTAGTATAAAAGGTTCTCTTTTATTCTTTCATTTCTATTCTAATTTTAGAATTTATTTTATTTTCACAGGCTATTCAAATACATATTTCATAACTGAGTTTTGTAGTCTCTACGTGTATAAGGATTGTTAATCTTCATCAGATATAAATTTCCCCAGCTTGTAAGTTTCTACTAAAAATTATATTATATCTCCAAAGAAACTTCTGAAAAAACTCTATAAGAGAATAAAGCAGAATATAACATTTAATCTAATAGTCAATACTAGAAGGCAAAATACTAATTGAACCCCAAATTAAGAAATTAGCTCTTCAACAAAATCTATGTCTTTTTAAAAACTTTACTTATCTAAAAACATCTATTGAGTTCTTTTTTGAATATATTTTTTAGTTGTTAATGGATCTTTATTTATATGTAGTGCTGAGAATTGAACCCAGTGCCTCACATATGCTAGGCAAGCGTTCTACCACTGAGCCACAACCCCAGCCCTTCATTGAGTTTATTGGGTGCCAAGAACTTTGTGAGATCCTGAAGCTGTAGATGGGAATTAACTGAGATTCTTAACCTTAAGGGATTTTCAGTCTGATAGGAAACACAGGTATGTAAGCAGAATTTAAATGCAATATGATAACTGCCAAAACAGAGATGGGAAAAGGAGAATGATTTTTTGTGTGTGTGTGTGGCAGGATCTCATATATTAAAGGTGCCATGTTCTCAGGCTTTTACTAAATACACTGACATAGCTAGGTAACCTCAACCCAAATACTAAATTTATTTGAAAGTAATTAAGAATTGTCAAAGACAGAATTTTTGAAATCACAATTTCTTCATCATTTGCTTCAATATGTCAAATCCTAAAATGGAAACTTATAATACCTTTGAGTCACTTTGGTTC